AATTTATACATATACACATAAACATACCCATACCTACACATCCAAACACTTTCATATACACACATACACATATACATATATCTATACATATACATATGCACATACAATTCAGTCTGTGCCCGAATAGAAAACCCAGGATTTAAACACCTACAATAAACATCTTTGACAGCCACAGCTAAGTGACCAAAGCAAACCAAATGACTCAGATAATTTTACAGGTATTGAAGTGAAACTTGGTGATTTCGTAGATGAGTGTTATCCCCAACAACAAACTGCTGGCATCAACCTTGTCTCCATTGTTGGGCACACTTCCCCTAAAGCACTAATAGGGGAACTGATTTCCTGATTAGTGCTTTAGGGCTTTTGCTATTTTTAAAATTCATTAGTGGATTAGCACTTGCTAAATTTATGAGCAACATTTAGAAGCACTAACAAAGATCTATAAATGTTATTGATCAACATTATTGTTCACAGTTGAAGGTGAAAGCTGTCACACATTTTGTTCATATGTGTGTGTCTACAAGGTCACATGTCAAACTCAAGGCCCGCGGGCCAAATGTGGCCTGTGGGTGACTCCCATTTGGCCCATCAAGGGCACTAAGTGATAACATTCTGTACACAGTAAATATTGTTGACTCTGGAGGATGTAAAATGTGTCATCTAGTTTATATTAGCGCTTTAGAATTAGCTTTTGCTAAATTTTTCAGTGCGTTAATGCTTTAGAAAATATTTGAGTTAGTGCTTTATGGTTAGTGCAACTAATTTTTAAGATTAGTGCTGCTAATTCTGGTCTGTCTGTTAGCAAAATATCTCCTGAACCACTAGGCGTATTTCGTTGAAACTCTTGGACAGATAAACATTGAGTGTAGATCTACAACTGATTACCTTTTAGAGTCAACCCAAATCAAGATGGCCGCTGCAACTAACTGATATTGGCCGACACAAAAATTATCATAACACATTCAGCTTCGCAGATTTTGAGCCCAGATTTGGTGTTGTAGTAGCTGAGTGTCATTCTTGGCACCTTCTCTGAACAAAAACATCTTGTCTGACAATGCTGCCTGAAATCATGCATATACTAGATTTGACCGATGCAGAATTAACTCAGTTTCAATATCAGTTTTGACACTGTCCGCTTCTGAAGGCAAACTGGATGTTTAGGGCATTTTCAGCAATAAATAAACTATGAAAATAAACTGTGATTTTTCTCTCATTCACACAACCAGGGCACTCATTGGCCACTGATAATTTGAGAGCTCTGAATATTTTTCTTACGCATTTTCATGACGATTTTCTCCTTCATTTAAATAACATCCTTCCAGGAAACCCGTTTTACAGTATTTTACTCTCACACTAAAGCAGATACAAAAACACTCTGAAAGCAAAATGTCCCCCATCCAGCAGATTAGTGATGAGATCAACCGGCACACACTCGCGTGCACCAGCATGCACCAACACGCCACCGCTCCCTCACTGTCAGCATCCGTTGTTGTGATGTGGTGGGCTGGCAGGAGTCAGCGTCTTACGTAAGGCTTTTACATAAACCTCAGCAGGCAAAACTAGAGCAAGAAAGAGAGAGACGGGAGGGCGGCTGCAACACCACAAAGGGGATTCGCACTGCACCAAATCCTACTGCACATGCTAATGCACCTTTGAAACAGCAAGCTTTTAGTGCGTTATTTGTCTTTGATTAAACACTAACACAACATGTTTATTGTGTTAAAAACTCGCAAAATCAGAATCCATGTCTGCATGAATCAGCGGATTCTGCTCGTCTTTGTTCTTTCCCACTGGAAAGCAACAGAGGRCAAAGACTTTTGTGTTATGGATCAATGAAATTAATTGATAACCAATTACTTTCAGGCAAAACTGACCTCTCTCCTAATGTTTTACCACAGTCTGCAGTACAATGTGTTACAAAACCACTTTCCCCCGCACCTCACATCTGCTTCTTGGTGCATTACACCTCCAGGATGAAGACCAGAATAAAAATTACAACCTATTTATGTCATTTTGTTWGCAAATGTGTGAACAGTTGCCTAGATTTAAAGTGTTTACAAAGAGTCAGGAGCTCATTTACCAGCGCAAATACAGTTTAATTCATCAAAAAGAGTAAATGGGAAAAAATTCACACTGTAAACAGGCAAACAGTAACATAAAAAAGGGAGAATATGATGTGCTGCAGACGTTCTCATGGAGGCCCAGAATCACAGTTACAGAGAAATGCTTCAGGCTCCAATAAATACTTGAAATTGGCCTCAGGGGTGTGAGTAACAGTCAGAYCAAAGAAAGAAGGTGCTTGGAAGGAGTGGAGAAATTGGAAAACCTCAACAGACACACAGATCCTGACGTGTGAAGYAAAGATGAGCTGAGCAGGATGTCCTGTTTGAACAAGTAATGCATAACAATCAGCTCCTGTCGAAATCAAATTTATGCAGTTATTCCCCCCACACACACACACTTTACAGCAGATTGGCAGCGTTTTTTTTTTTTTACATTTGTGTATTCAAATTCAATATTTTCAAAATGGGGAATCAGGTTACTTCATGGCCTAACCGAAACTTCCCCATCGGAAGATTAAAAAGAAATTCAAACCTGTCATGAATAAATCATCACATCCTAACATGAACCAGCATATCTCCAAGTGTCAGTAGTGTTCTTGTTGGAATTAGAAAAAAAAATTTGCTTCAAACTTGTCTCAACAAATTTCTGACAAAGGCCTCTTGGGTCTACGACCCACCCCCCTCACTTTTAAAACAAGTGGTGCTTTTTGACACTGCACACACTGAGAGGTGGTTTGTTTGTTTTTTTCAGACCATAATAGAAGAAAAAAAACAGTAAAATCCACCATTTATCTTGCTCTCATAAGACCAAAACTGAGAACTACAAGAACCTCAAGCTACATTCAGATACACAAACAGCTGCGGTGGACCCTGGAGAAAAATATGCATCGGTAGAAAAGCCAATACATGAATGGTCTAAAACTCATTTATCATAATTGCTTTAAAAAAGATAAATGTTTTGCATTATATTTCAGCTTTTTTGAAAGCTAAAAATGCATGACTTCTCCTCATTTACCAACATCAACCAGTATAAAACAAACAAACAAAAAAAAGTCTAGAGAGGGGAAAAAAATAGGTGAAACACAAATTTGGTGCAGTCACAGTTTGAGATCCGGGTTGTGTATTTTTACATAGAGAGCTTATAAAAAATATGAAACCTAATTAATAAAAATTCACAAACTAGGAAAGCTGTTTATGTGTCCCCCTCCAAAAAAGAAAAGAAAATTATCCAGTGTCGCTACAAGAAGAGTGACAATCGTTCAACAGTTTGCATACAGAAGAACTTTTAGCATTAGATGACATTCCCTGACGTTGTGCCTCAGGTGTGTGGCACTGCATGCAATGATGTGTGAGTGAGTGTGTGTGTGTGTGTGCATTTGTGTGTGCATGTCTGATCTTCAACGAGCAACAATGCATTAGTGCAAAGGATCTTTTCCGGTATTGTATTGCAAATGTTTTGCAGGTTTCCATTAGAAACAAAATTACTGTAAATCCCAGAGATTGAGTGAAATTCTAGTGGTGCGGCAGAGTACTAGTGATTCAAAAGAAGCCAACCTGAGTCCTTTCACTTTTAAAATTAAAAAGAGGCATCCATTATTAAAAGAAATTATGTGGCTTTCACTTTAGCGGCAAACTAAGGTATAAAACTGGATCTGAATGAACAGTTTTATAAACAGTGAGTGGTCAGAAGAAGACCATCTTCAAAATGAATAATGTACAAAGCCAGACTGTTGGGTTATTAAAGGCTGAGGATACCGTTGAGTCTGTCCTGGGTTATTATAGGCAGAAAAATCTAGACTGTGTGTGTGTTTTTCAAACTTTGGCTCTAAAAACACAAGTTTAGGAGGTAATTTAATAGAGAAGAAACAGGATTACTATATAAAAAAGTTACAAATAATAACAATGAACTTTGATTAGATTAGGTTCGTATGAGCAAACAGAGCAATGCTGTGTGAAATTCCATAGAAAAATGTCAAAAGATACAAAGGTGCATTGCTCTTTTCTGCTTTAAAGTGACTGTCAAAATCAGCATGTCGGAAGTCTTTTCCAAGAACTAACAAGGTGATGAATGTCATTTCTGATCCACGGATTGTCAACAATCAGCCTCCAAAGTGCAATTTGATGTCAGAGAAATTTTAGCCCAACTTTTTTGGAGGGTCCTTGCGACTTTCTCCAGTGAACTATTCTGGTTCAGTCCAATATAAGCCAAGATACCTTTAAGAATGAGACTTTTTTTTTTATTTTTTTAGAATTTAGGGGAAATTTATAGGATATCAGCACTACAGCTCAGCATTTGTCTCAGGTGGAGAAAACTTTTGGCTCTGCACAAGCAGCGCTCAATGTACATTCGAGTCTAATAGTAAAAGAGAAGCAGGCGTTTGGACAAAAACTACTTTTTGTGTGTGGTTCCTCTGGTTGAGCTGGCAGGTTTGTTCCCAGAACGGCGAACGGGTACCTTGGACACAGGGATTTTGGTACGAGCTGACGGGGCTGCTTGGGTCTTCGGCGGAGAGGATTCAGACTCCAGGACAGATGACAGGGCGGACTGGCTCACGGAGTGAGGCGGTGAGGTTTGTCTGGTGCTTACTGGGATCTTAGATTCTCGAGGAAGGCTGGCGCTGCCTTTTATTGATCGGAAGGAGGAAGAAGAGGAGGAGGAAGGTGGACTTTTAGGAGAGGTTGGACTCATTTTGTACTCGGTGGAAGGAGAGGGAGTACTATTCATGTCTTCGTCTCCTCTTTGATCCTCCCCCTCTTCCTCGGGATCATTGTACAGGTCATAGAGGTGGTCCCCAGAGCAACTGTCACGAGATAGGGCAATCTTTTGGTTTCGCTGTAAGCCACTTTCATCGGGCGTTGCTGTTGGTGTTGCTGATGGTGTGTCCCAGTAGCCCTCATCACTAAGTAGCTCTTTGTCACTTGGTGATGAAGGATGACGACCATGTGCATGAGGAATTGGGGGTTTAGCGGCCCGACTCACTGCTCCACCAACAACTGGGATCTTACTGAGCCCCAGTGCCTTCACCTGGGGTGCCTTTTTGTCTGCACTCTTGGTAATTGATGCTATATGGCTGCTGGCCGGGTTAGTGCGATGGGGATGACCGGAAGTCAGGTTAGTGGAGGAGGGCTGACTCAGTCGGGGCAAAGCAGGGGAGTTGTCGCCTGTAGACGGCAACATGTGCCAGAGTCCCTGCATGTCTGCATCATCCACTCCTTCTGGACTCGCCATTTCTTCCCCTCCGCCCATGTAGGCCACGACACCACTACCAGCGGGGTGCTGCTGTGGCGGAGGAGGCACTCTGGTTCGAGCAGGGAGGGAGGCCGGGGCTAAGCTTTGGGAGACAGAGAACACGGGCTGAGTGATCTGGGGCGGTGCAGGAGGTTTAGATGGGGAGCTGCGAGGCGTGGCGCCAGAGATACCGCCAGCTCTTCCAATGCTTGCACCCAGACTGCCTCCTCCTCCGCCACTGCTGCTGCTGCTGGTGCCACTGCCACCATTTCCCGCTGGCCCTTCCTCATCTGCATCAGCGATAATGTCACCGCACCCTGTCAGTGAATCAAAGCTCTTGAGGGACGTGACATCAGTGAAGAGGAGAGAACACAGTCGGTCCACCGAGGGCTCTGAAGGCTGCTCGCTTATGCTGCAGTGATCCAAAGGGGGCGTAGTGAGGGAAGGTGTGAGGCTGGAGATCGAAGCTTTGGCCTTTTGGATTGGAGGGTGCAGTGGTGAGTCAGTGGGAGTGTAAGGCAAGGGGGAGTCTGGCTCAGCAGATGGTCCTGGCATGGCAACACAGTGTGTGGGTGTCATGGTAGCACTAGTGGTGGGCGTGTCCTCTGGTTGGAGGTGAGGCCCCGCCTCCGCATTTTCACAGTCCTCTTGGTGATTGTGTGGAGGTGGTTCTAGGGTCAGAGTGATGTCCTGTATGTTTTCAGATTCAGCAACCACCTCTGCGTCCATTTCCTTTTTACCTTCCGTGACTTCGCCATCTCCCTCATTTGTCTTGTCTTTGCGTCTCCATCGCATGCTGCTGAAAAATCCTTTCAGGCCCCTCCCACGCCTCGCAACCCCCGCCCCCCCGTTTTCACTCGTCCTGAAACTCCCACGTCGGAGAAAAGAAAAGAAACTCAGCGATTTGCTGAGTGACCTGACGGGTCCTGCCTCCAGGCTAGCCTGCCCCTCCCCTCTGGGCCCAGCAGCATCGTTGTTGGGACTCGTCAGCCCGTCGTGCGTTTTGCTCCTCACGAGCTCCACGGATGCTGCCGAGCCGCTTCCATTCAGAGAGTTCCCGTTGTCAGAATTGCCGTTGTTCCCGCTGCTCACGGCCCCTTTGTTCCTGAAGGAGAAGAAGCTGGCCATGCCGGAGCCAGCGCGCCGCTTTCCGAAGAGTTTGAAGGCAGCTTTGTTGATCTTCCCTGTGGGCTGGGGGTCGCACTGTGGGGCCACGGGAGGCTCCGCGCACTCCGACTGCTCCTCCATTATCCAGCGCTCTGTTGCACCCGCAGCTGGCCTTTCTCCACTTCTCTTCCTGCCTTTCTATCCTCTCTCTCTCTTCCTGGCCCCACATGCACTCACCTCCTTTCTGTCCTTCTCCCCTCCACCCTGCTTTCTGCTGCTCTTTCACTCCCACTCTGACTTGCCTCAACGCCTGCCTGCTGGTTTATCTGTCCCCGCCCTGCCTTCCTCCTCCTTCCCAACTCTTTCTCTCTCTCTCTCTCTCTCTCTGTCTCTCTCTCTCTCTCTCTCTCTCTCCCCCCCCCCCCCCCCCCCTCTCTCTCTCTCTCTCTCTCTCTCTCTCTCTCTCTCTCTCTCTCTCTCTCTCTCTCTCTCTCTCT